GAGCTTGATGGGCCGAATGGCCTCCTCTCGTTTGTAAATTTCTTATGTTCTTATGTTCTTATGTTCCTCAGCAGTCCAATCCATGGACCTTTTGCAGCATATCAGTCTGTCCCTGATGTTTTTCTTGGAGAGCAGTGGCTTCTTTGCTGCCCTTCTTGACATCAGGCCATCCTCCAAAATTCTTTGCCACACTGTGCATGCAGATGCACTCACACCTGCTTGCTGCCATTCCTGAGCAAGCTCTGTACTGGTGGTGCCCTGATCCCGCAGCTGAATCACCATTAGGAGACGGTCCTGGCACTTGCTGGACTTTCTTGGGTGACCTGAAGCTTTCTTCACAACAGCTGAACCTCTGTCCTTGAAGTTCTTGATGATCCAATAAACGGTTGACTTAGGGGAAGTCTTACTAGCAGCAATATCCTTGCCTGTGAAGCCATTTTTGTCCAAAGCAGTGATGACTGCACATGTTTCCTTGCAGATATCCATGGTTAACAGAGGAAGAACAATGATTTCAAGCACCACCCTCCTTTTAAAGCATCCAGTCTGATATTCTAACTCAATCAGCATGACAGAGTGATCTCTAGCCTAGTCCTCGTCAACACTCTCACCTGTGTTAATGAGAGAATGACGGAAATGATGTCAGCAGGTCCTTTTGTGGCAGGGCTGAAATGCAGTGGAAATGTTTTTTTTGGAATTAATTGCAATTCATCTGATAACTCTTCATTACATTCTGGAGTATATGCAAATTGCCATCATAAAAACTGAGGCAACAGACTTTCTGAAAATTAATATTTGTGTCATTCTCACTTTTGGCTACAGCTGTAGTATGTGATTGAAAGGTTATAGGATTCATTTAAAATTACTATTGTTATTGTTCTTCAACAAGTCAAGTAGCAAGAAAACTATGAAACAAACATTTATAGTGTGCTTGGCAGATTATACATGTTCTTTTGGTCTCATCTGACAAGGACAGTCAGCATGCACAGGTCCTTGAGTAATGGCCTCGAAACGACAGAGTTGATAATCAGTGCCTTCAAATCTGAGGCCAGAATACTCTTTCAGAACAAATTAATTACTCCTTTGAGGTGAAGGGGCAGAATCCGCCCAGAGTAAAGGAGTTTAAGTGCCTCAGGATCATATTCACAAGGGATGGCAAGAGTGAACATGAGATTGACAAGCAGATTAGTTCAGTGGCTGCAGTTTGCCAGACTCACTCTCAGTGAAAAGGAGAGAAGTTTGCAGGTCAGGAGGCACCTTGAATGGGAGTCATCACTCCATCAAATCAAGATGAGAAAGGTGAGGTGGTTCAGGCATCTGGTAAGGATGCTATCTGGGCAGCTCCAAAGGATGGAGGCCATGGGGCGGACCCAGGACACGCTGGAGGGATTACATTTCCCAGTTGGCTTGGGA